GGCAAAAGAGTGAGACTCTGTCTCAAAAAAAAAAAAATTAATAGGCTTTATTTTTTAGAGCAGTTTTGGGTTCATAGAAAAATGGAACAGAAAGCACAGAGAGTTCCCCATTCCTCCCTGTGCTCACACACCCACAGCCGCCCCCTCTATCAACATGGGCACCAGAGTGCTACATTTGTTACAACTGATAAACCTACACTGACACATTATCAACCAGAGTCCACAGTTTCCCTTAGAGTTTTCCTTTAGAGTTCACTCTTGGGATTGTACCTTCCACAGCTTTGCACAAATCTATAAGGACATGTATCCACCATTATAACCCTATATATACACAGTAGTTTCACTGCCCTAAACGTCCTCGTGCTTTGCCTAGTCATCCTTCCCTCGCCCCTAAACCCTGACCACCACTGATCTCTTTATTGCCTTAGTCGTTTTGCCTTTTCCAGAACATCATATAGTTGGAATCATATAGTATGTGGCCTTTTCAGATTGGCTTCTTTCACTGAATAACACACGTCAGTTTCCTCCATGTCTCTTTGTGGCTTGAGGGCTCGTTTCTTTTCAGTGGAGGTAGCACAGTTTGTCCACTCGCCTACTGAAGGAGATCTTGGCTGCTTCCAGGTTTTGGCTATCAAAAATAAAGCTGCTATAAACATCCGTGTGCAGGTTGTCGTGTGGACGTAAGTTTTCAACTCTAGTAGAAATGTAGTTTTAAGAGGTCACTGTGGATTTGGTGGGAGGAACTCAGGGAAGAGCCTGGATCCTTGAAAAATGCCTCTTCGGTGAGGCTCTCTCTGAAGGTGGGGACAGGGGCTATGTGGGTGGTGGCCTGTGTCTGGCACAGTAAGAGCCACCCATGGGGAGATGTGGAGGTTCTCCCAGCAGGTCCCTTCGAAGACCCTGTCCCCAGCTTCACCAGGCTCCGTCTACCACTCGCTGCTGCCTCCCAACACCTGGGAGGCACCGCCCCCCACAATAGCTCAGGAGGCTGAATGGGAGAAGTTGCTGTGCTTCTCCTGGTGGGTTCTGAAGTAGAGAGAACCTGGGCTCAAATCCCACCTTTGCTACTCACTTGGACCTGCATTCTTCTCTGCAAGATGGGTGATAGGATATACCACACAGGGGTTTGGTGACACTTAGTATGGAAAGTGTCAGTTACACGCGGAGGCTTATGAATGGTGGCTGTTGTCATTTTTGTTAGGAAAGACCTGCTTTCGCCAGACCCCACTGTAGATGAATTGGAAGGAGGGGGGGCCTGCTGTGGCCCAACTCGTTTCCAGCCTCTACTGTAGGCTCTCAGGGAACTCACATGGCCTAGCGTTGAGCCCTGGCCTCAGGGTCCCCTTCATCACCAGGACCAGCCAGGTAGATGCTGCGGGGGGCGGGGGGGGGCGCTCTCGGACCATGAGCTATTGGGGATGCTCTGAGGAGTGCACCTGTGAGAGGGTGAGAGCAGGGAGGCACTGGCACTGACTCCGCCCCCCCGGGGTCCTCGAGCCCAATACTCAGTGGTTTCCATTTTGATTGTTTCTCAGAATTGGGGCCTCCCTTGAAATGTGGGACCCCTTCCTCACTAGAACTAATATGATCAGTAGTGGTTACAGCTTCTGTTGATTGAATTGCTCCTCTGTGCTGGAAACTTAGATGCATTATTTCATTTAATCAAGAATTTATTTGGCAAACATGTATCAAGGGCCTGCTACTGCCAAGCACTGTTCTAAGTGGGAGACAGAAAATAAACAAGTCAGCCACATGAAAAACATACCTAATGAAAAATTGTAGGGGAAAAGAAGGAATGAGTCAGGAGGCTAGGAAAGATAATTCCAGGGAAGACCTGCCAGGAGGGTGTGACATTTGATTTATGACTGAAACTATCAACCACCAGGAGCAAAGCATTGCCCCAGAGAAAGAGCCTGTGCAATGAGTGAGTGTTTCACACTCACAGGCCAGAGTGGCTGGTGCGGTGGAGGGAGGAGGAAAGAGGGAGGACAGGTGGGGACTGGAGGGTTGTAGGAGAGTCCTGGGCCTCTGTGAAACTCCCCAGATGCCTGCCTGGGCCAGAACTGTGCTCCTATGGGAAACAACGGGAATTCCACTAAGGATCGCTTTTGTTATGCTTGAAGTTGAACTTAACTGTCCACAAAACCGTGAGCTCTTTGAGGGAAAGGACTGCCCTGCCCCTGCTGCCATGATCCACAGCTGTTGCTCATTAGGGGCTTCTTCATACTCAGTAAGTGACTCAACCCTAGGAGGTGGGAGGGAAATGAGGCCTGGGGGGCTATGATATGAACCCTGATGTACAGGGGTAAACAGTGTCCTCCAAAGATTCATGTCCACCTGGAACCTCAGAATGTGACTTTATTTGGAATAGGGTCTTTGTGACTAGTTAAGGTCAGGTCATACTCGGTTAAGGCGGGCCCTTAAGTCCAACATGACTGGTGTCCTTACAACACACAGAGACACAGTGGAGAGACAGCCACATGAAGACGGAGGAAGAACTTGGAGTTTTGCTGCTGCGAGCCAAGGAAGTCCAGGGATTGCTGGCAACCACCAAAAGCTAGGAAAAAGCAAGGCAGGATTCTCCCCTACAGCCTTTGGAGGGAGCATGGCCCTGCCACCATCCTGATTTCAGACTGCGGGCCTACAGAACTGAGAGAGAATAAATTCCTGTTGTGTAAGCCACCCAGTTTGCGGCACTTTGTTAGGCCAGCCCTAGAAAACTAACACTTGCTCAGGGTCACCCAGAAGTCAGCACCCGTATGCAAACCCAGTTTTTCTGCTTCCAGAGCATGAGATTTCCCCACGAATTTCTACTAATAAAGTGTTTTTAAATGCAAATGCTTCAGGGTAGGTGCACAGACATTCATTTACTCAGCAAATATTTATTCAGTGCCTACTACCGGCCAGGGGTAGTTCTAGGTTCTGGAAAATCCTGTTCCTGCTTACAGCGTATTAGAGGGAGGACCCCCCCCAAAAGATACAGTAGGTCAGATGGTGGAAAGACCTATAGAGACATAGAACCCGGGATGAGGGGCAATTCAGATGCATGTGTATGTTGGTGGGGAGGAGGAGCTGCTATTTCATGCTAGATGCTCAGGGATCCTCTGACAGGTGGCTTTTAAATGCCGCAGGCAGAGGGAACGGCAAATGCAAAGGCCTGGTGGCGGGGACGTGCTGGGCCGGCAGGAGGCCGGCGTGGCTGGAGAGAAGCGTGCAGAGGTCACAGAGCTTGGGGAACGAGCTCGAAGAGGAAGCGGAGGCCACAGAGGACCTGCAGGGTTCCTCCGTGCCCTGGCAGTGCTCTGGGTGGCGCCACACCCAACATGGCGGCCACGCGGGGCCTGCCTGCGGGCGAGCGGAAGTGCGTGTCGGCGGGCGCCGGAAGTAGCCGGAGGCCCCGCCCCTGCCGGGGTCTCTGTAGAACCGCGGCCGCGCCGGCTTCGAGCATCCCTGGCCCGGCAGGCTGGAGGCCCCGGGGCTTCGGCTCCGGCGGCCGCGGCACTGCCCGCCCGCGACATGGCCAGCTCCGGAGAGGTACAGCCCGCGCCTTTCTCCCCTCTGCTCCTACCTCGGCGGCCTCAGCCCCCCAGGTTCTTCTCGTCCCGACCCCGGTCCCCATGCGTCCTTTCTGTCCGGACCCCTACCCCACTCCGTCCTCCCGATCCGGACCCCGGCCTTGCTCCTGGTCCCATCCTTGCCCCATTCCGCCCCCCAGGCCCTTCCTCTGCCTCCCCAGGCACACGCTGTGTCCCTCCTCAGCTTTCCATCCCTTTCCCAGTCCCACATTCCTGACCGCCAGAGTTGCTCCCCGCCTCTCTGCCCCCTGAGTTTCTAGGCGCCTCCAGGGCCCTTTCTCCATGCCCCTGTGCCTCGGCTCAGCTCTTTCAGCTCTGGGACGTTCCCCTTCGTGGCCACTTCCCACCGTGTCTTCTATCTCTGAATGCTCAGTTTCAGTCCAGCCCCCTTGTCTCTGGAGCCTGCTTGTTGATTTGGGTTGGGGGTGGTGGTGATGGAGGAAAAGCCGTTTCGCCTGGGGACTTGCAGCTTATCTGGAATTCCTTTCCCAACGTTTCACAAACCTGGGTCCGATGGAGAATCCCACCGCGTCCCCCGTTATGTGGTGCAAGGTATTTTCTCTGCTCACAAGGGTATGGGGGGACTCGATTTCCACTACTGGCTTCTCTTTTGTTGCTTCCTGCCTACCTGGATATCCGTCATCTTGCAGCACTCAGACCGTTTTGGCACATTTCTAAGTTTTAGGAGCTTGCTTGGGTTCTAGAGAACGAGTGTGAGAGGTTCAAGTGTTTTCTGTAGAGTGGATGGGGCATGAGTGTGTGGAAGGTGGCCTGGGCTTGCTGACTGTTCTCTTCAGCCCCAGTGGCTCCTTGATTGACAGGGAAGGGTGTGTGGCCCAACTGCAGACTGATGATAGGATTGAAGGGCCAGACAACTCCAGCTCCCGGAGGAAGAGTTCTGGAGTAGCCTGGCTGTGTTAGCAGATTCCAGTTAGCTGTGTGTGCCTTGGGGAGGTGGGTGGGTCTGGTACCCTGGTCTTACGGAGTCCTGGCTCCTAGGCCCCTCTGTCCGATTAAGCACATGGGGGTGACCTGGCTGTTGAGGCCTGCTTCTTGTTGGCATTGCAGATACCTCTTAGGCTGAGAAGGAGAGAGGTGAGTCTAGTTCTGTCCTGAATGTGGAGATCAAGGTCTCTTTTTCTGGGACAAATTATTTATTTATTGAGACATAATTCACATACTACAAAATTCACACTTTTGAAGTGTACAATTCAGTGATTTTTTTTAAAAAAAACTATATTCACAAGGTTGTGCAGCCATCCCCCCTCTCTTTGATTCCAGAATGGGGTGTCTGATTTTTTTTTTTTTTTGAAACAGAGACTCACTCTCTTGCCTGGGGCGAGTGCCGTGGCGTCAGCTTAGCTCACAGCAACCTCAAACTCCTGGGCTCAAGCAATCCTTCTGCCTCAGCCTCCCGAGTAGCTGGGACCACAGGCACGCGCCACCATGCCCGGCTAATTTTTTCTACCTATATTTTTAGCTGTCCAATTAATTTCTTTCCATTTTTTGGTAGAGACGGGGTCTCGCTCTTGCTCAGGCTGGTCTCGAACTCCTGAGCTCAGAACAATCCGCCCGCCTCGGCCTCCCAGAGTGCTAGGATTACAGGCGTGAGCCACCAGGCCCGACCTGGGGTGTCTGATTTTGAAAATCATTGCTGACTTTAAAAATAAAGAGTTTAATGAATAACTAAACTCTTCAAACCACTTTCATGTCGTCATTATAGCCAGGTGGCTCCCAGTGTGCTCGATAAGGATCATCCAGAACTGTTACAAGCACATTCCAGGGCCTGCTTCTCACCCCTGAATTGGAATTTCAGGAGGCTCCAGAAATTTGGTACCGACCTGTCAGGAAGGCTCAGCCACCCTTTCTTGGTGTTGGAGGGAAAGACAGTTCCTGGCTTAGCACATCGGGCCCTGCTTTCTGCATTGCTTGCCCTCTGACTTTGGGTTAGTTACCTGGGTTTTTTTTTTAAGATGGAGGATGAGTCTGTCTCAGTTTCCCCTGTGGTTGACAACACATTTTCTGAGAGACAGATGGAAGTGAGTATGAGTTTATTTGGGTATGTGTGGAGGTAGGCATATTTGGGCCACGTTTTTATTTCACAGATTAAGAAACTTGGTCTGAGTGTGGTGGCTCTTGCTTGTAATTCCAGCACTTTGGGAGGCTGAGGCAGGAGGGTAACTTTAGGCCAGCAGTTCGAGACCAGCCTGGGTAACATATGGAGACCCCGTCTCTACGAAAAATAGAAAAATTAGTTAGGCGAGGTCGCCCATGCCTCCAGTCCCAGCTATTGGGGAGGCTGAGGCAGGAGGATTGCTTAAGGCCAGGAGTTTGAGGCTGCAGTGAGCTATGATGATGCCAGTGCACTCTAGCCTGAGTGACAGAGCAAGACCCTGCTTCAACAACAACAACAAAAAGAAACTTGGAGGCCCATTCCCTCCCTCTTGTCATCCTGGTGGACACCCCTGGTTTGTTGTTGCTTCTCCAGAGCTTGCAACCTTTTGTGGGTGCAAAAGGTAGTCATTTACCAAAGTTGTCTCAGGAAACCTAAGTTCCAGAGAAATGGCTCAGTTGTTACAAACCCAGCGGCCACCTTCCAGGATTAGCTGGCTGGAGATTCAGGGGGTTGGGGGCCATCATGAGCTGCTGCCCAGCCGGCTTCTCTCCTCCCGGCCAGCTTCCCCTGCCCAGCCTGTGTGCTGCTGGCCTTGCCACAGCATTTGGGGTCTGGCCTGAGACGAAACTTCTCTTTTATTTAGGGCACAGCATGTGGAAAAAGTGATCCTGTGGAATGTGCTGAGGCTGGATGGAGGGAGCTGGGATTTAATTCTTGGTGCATTCTCTCTCTCTCTCTTTCTTTCTTTCTTTTTTTTTTAATTCTTGTCATTTCTAGGTGGTTTTAAGAAAAATTCAGCATAGTAGCATAACTGGAAATTATATGATGCTGGAGTGGAGTTTTTTTAATAATGTTTTGCTCTTGTTCTTCCTCTTACCTATGAGAGCACTCCAGTGGCGTTCTTACTTCATAAATGTACAAATTAGGGATGGGGGTTGCGGCTCAGGCCACTCAATGGGAGTCAAACCCAGTCTTGTAATTTCACAGCCGCAGGTCCTCTGCAGAGCCCTGTTTGCCAAGATCTCCTGATAGGGGTTGTCCCTGGTTCTAATAGAAGTTATCCCTGGTTCTGATAAGGATCGTCGCTGGTTCAGGAGCCTGTCCCTTGGGGATGGATTCCACAGGTCTAGGCTGGGAATCTGGTTGTTACGAGGTGCCTGGGTGATCCCCTGGACTGTTCTCTGGGAAATACTGTGTGACGGGAGAGCCATTGGACCCAGAATATGACCCAGCACAGCTGTGGACTTGGGTCTGAGGGCTGCCCTCTGCCCTTGTGACAGAGGAAGGAAGAAGACAGGTTGGGGGGAAGGGGAGGGCAGGTGAAGCAGGGCAGGTGGAAGAGTCAATGCTGTCAAGATAAGTTCTTGACCCTCTGACCCTCGTGATAAATATACTCTCTGACTTGGCCATGTTCTTTGGTGTCCGATGTAGCTTTCTCTTTTGGAGAATGGAGGATGATTCTTTAAACACCCCTGGACACCTATCTAGGGCCTGGCGAGGGCCCATTGGGACAGGGCGAAAGGGCTGCACAGTCGGCATTCCCAGGAAACCTCCAACGCCTGCGTGGGGTGTGCAGATAGGCTTTTCCCCCACGGCCCTCACGGTTGCCATGACAGCAGCAGGGCTTTCCAAAACTCAGAGTTTCCATCCATGCAAATATGTACAGGAGCAGGGTGGAAAACAGAGCAGGCTGGAGGTGAGGGTCGTGTAGACACAGTTGCTGGGGAGGCAGCAGGGGGTGTTTCTGGGGCCCTAGAGAGAGGAGCAGCCTGGAGGAGGCAGGAGGAGCCCGAGGTGGGAGTGCTGGGACTGTGTAGGGACTCATCCCCCACGAACCCTCCTTAGTAAAGTCTTCCGTATTCCTTTGTCCTTGATTTGGGGATTTCATATCACATTAGCGTGGGTCCAGTCCCTCTCCTCTTGGTGTACAAGTCAAAAAGACATTGAGCATTTGGACCAAAGCTCACGTTAGGGAAGAACACCTGGTAGCTTGCTGGATAGCTGCAGCAGAGCAAGTGAAATCTACAGATATCTTATTGGAAATGGCAACATGAGTCTCTAACCAGAAAATATGAAAAATAGAGATAAATTGTAGAGTTCCTATTATTTATTACTGATTTTAAGATTTGAAAACCTCATTAGTCTAGTAGATACTGTTTCTTCTTTTTTTTTTTTTTTTTGAGACAGAGTCTCACTGTGTTGCCCGGGCTAGAGTGCCGTGGCGTGGTCTTAGCTCACAGCAACCTCAAACTCCTGGGCTCAAGCAATCCTCCTGCCTCAGCCTCCCGAGTAGCTGGGACTACAGGCATGCGCCACCATGCCCGGCTAGTTTTTTCTATATGTTTTTAGTTGTCCAATTAATTTCTTTCTATTTTTAGTAGAGACGGGGTCTCGCTCTTGCTCAGGCTGGTTTCGAACTCCTGAGCTCAAACAATCCGCCCACCTCGGCCTCCCAGAGAGCTAGGATTACAGGCGTGAGCCACTGCACCCGGCCGATACTGTTTCTTCTTTATAAGGACTTGTGTAGTTTTATTCTCAGTGGCGGTTCCTCTACTTTTGCTTACCCTTAATGGCAGTGCTGAAACAGCTACTGTTGTCAGACCTTGTTCTAAGGACTTGATGTGTGATAACTCATTTAGCTGTTACGGCAGCCCTGCGAGGTGAAGACAGTCTTACTGTCCTTGGTAACTAATTTCCTTCCTTCGTTCCTTCCTTCGTTCGTTCCTTCCTTCCTTCCTTCCTTCCCTCCCTCCTTCCCTCCCTTCCTTCCTTCCTTCCCTCCCTCCTTCCCTCCCTCCTTCCCTCCTTCCTTCCCTTCTTCCCTCCTTCCCTCCCTAACTCCCTCCCTCGAGATCTCACTGTGTTGCCCAGGCTGGCCTTGAACTCCTGGGCTCATGTGATCCTCCTGCTTCAGGCTCCTGAGCAGCTGGGACTACAGGCGTGCGCCACTGCACCTGGCTCTCAATAAGTTTCTTGATAGAATACTCCTTCCGAAGGGTTTTCAAGAATATATTAATAGCTTGATGTCTGGGACAGAGTCAGGGACTAGAGGCTTTCAACAGTGGAGAACCTTGGTGAATGGTTACATTGTTGAGCCTAAAATCATGCCACAGTTGACTGGCGGTCTTTAGTAGGAAAAACCTCTTTTAAACACATAATGATCTTTTTACTAATCTTTTACTTTTGAAGATAGATCCTGGTTTGCAGATCTAAAAAGAAGTTTTGAAGCATCTCATGAATTGTTTGCTATGCAGTTAAGATTTTTCATAAAAGCACCTTCTTTTGCCTGGACCATGGTGAGGGCTTCTCTCAGCTTCTCCCCCTGGCTGGGGAGGCCAGGTCGATGGCCGCCTTTGGGGATCCTGTGGGAATTTGGTGTCCCCCTTATTTTCAGGACATGTCCAACGACGATGACACACACCCCGCTGGGATGGCGGGTGGCACCCACCTCCTGGGATTCTCTGACGAGATCCTACTGCACATCCTCAGCCACGTCCCCAGCACAGACCTGATTTTGAACGTCCGGTGCACCTGCCGGAAGCTTGCAGCCCTGTGCCTTGACAAGAGCCTTGTGCACACCGTGTTGCTGCAGAAGGACTATCAGGTGAGGTGGGCGAGGGGACAGGAGATCGGAAACAACCTAGACGTTCACCTTGGAGGACTGGCATAGCCCCGCTGTGCAGCTGACAAAGAAGGGGTCTTGACTGGAGCAGTCTCCAGGATGCACTAAGTGACAGAAGCAAGGGGCAGAACATGTGGATGATATGCCACCTGGGGAGGAGGGTGCAGGTATATGTGGACCTCGTTCTGGGAGGAAACCTAGGGCCTCAGGCCTGCGGGAGGTGGGAGACTTACTTGCCCGTAGATACCTAGGAGTGGCACTGCTGGGTCACAGGATAGGTTTGGAGGTTTCTTGTAAAGGTAAATGCATGGCTCTCCAGGGACACAGTGTGAGGACACCATTTTACACCCCGCCGGCAGTGGGTGAGAGTTCCAGTTGTTCTGTATCCTCACCAACACTCAGTGGTGTCAGTTTTTTCAGTTTTAGCCATTCTAATGGGTGGGACATGGTATCTCATTATGGTTTTACCTTGTGGTTTAACTGATGAAGGATGCTGCCTGTCATGTTTTGTAAAGTGTGTGGGCCATTTTCAGAAGTACCTGTTTTAAGTCTTTTGCCCATTTTTTACAGAGTTGTCTTTTTCTTAGTAAGTTGTGGGATTCTTTATATCTTTTGGATACCAGTCTTTTGTCAGATATATGTATTGTAACTATTATCCCCCATGTTTTTTCCCAGTCTGGCTTGCTGTTTCATTTTAACTGTCTTTTGAAGAGCATAGGTATTAACTTTTGGTGAAGTCCGATTTATTGGTTTTGAGTATGCGCTTTTTGTGTCATTTTGAAGAAATCTTTGTTAAACCTGAGATCATGAGATTTTCTCTTGTGTCTAGAAGTTTTATAATTTTCACTCTTTTTTTTTGAGGGACAAGGTCTTGCTCTCTTGTCCAGTTCTGGAGTACAGTGGCCTGATCATAGCTCACTGCATCCTTGAACATGCCTCAGGCACACACCACCATGCCTGGCTAATTTTTCTATTTATTGTTGAGATGGGGTAGAGATATGGGGTCTTACTGTGTTGCCCAGGCTGGTCTCAGACTCCTGGGTTCAAGCGATCCTCCCACCTCAGCCTCCCAAGTAGCTGGGACTACAGGTGCGTACCACCACGCCAGGCCTATCTGGAACATTTAAAATATGCCTGTCCTTCAGCTGCCTAGTCCCATGTGTAGACCTTTCCTTCAGAGAAGGAATCCTGTGTGCTGAAGCCTGTTGTATGCCGATGCTCGATGCAGCGTTGTTCACCATAGGGCTACGCTGGAAATAGCCACGGCGTCCTGCTGTAGGTGACTGGCTGCTGTGCTCCCGACTGGGCATTTCATGGTTCACCTAAGCCAGTCCGAGCTAGATTCATGAGCAATATGTAAGGATGAGAAAGAAAACAGCTTCGTGGGGCCCGATTCCAGCTCTGCAATATGTGTCAGAGAGATGGGGCCACACCCTGGGCAGCCTCCCTGTGCTGTCTCCCGCGGGAGGCTTTTGTGGGTGCTCAGGCTCCTCAGCTAGGGACCGTTTCTTCTTCTTTTTTTAAATGCTTTATTTATTTTTTTTTTTTTTGAGACAGAGTCTCACTCTGTTGCCCTGGCTAGAGTGCCGTGGCGTCATCCTAGCTCACAGCAACCTCAAACTCCTGGGCTCAAGCGATCCTCCTGCCTCAGCCTCCCGAGTAGCTGGGACTACAGGCATGCGCCACCATGCCCGGCTAATTTTTTCTATACATTTTTAGTTGTCCAATTAATTTCTTTCTAATTTTAGTAGAGATGGGGTCTCGCTCTTGCTCAGGCTGGTTTCGAACTCCTGAGCTCAAACAATCCGCCCGCCTCGGCCTCCCAGAGAGCTAGGATTACAGGCATGAGCCACCGCTCCCGGCCTCGTCTTAATCATTTTTAAGTGTGCAGTTCAGTGGCCGTAAGCACATTTCACAATGTTGTGTAACTGTCACCACCATCTGTCTCTGGAACTTTTTCACCGTCTGAAACTGGAACCATTAAGCAACAACTTCCCACTGTCCTCTCCCCTGGCCCCTGGTAGCTTCTAGTCTACCATCTGTTTCTGTGGATTTGCCTGTCGTAGGCACTTCATGTCAGTGGAATCGTGCAGCATTGACCTTTTGTGCCTGGCTTCTCTCACCCAGCGTCATGTTTAAGTTCGTCCATGTTGTAGCAGGTGTTGGAACTTCGTTCCTTTCTGTGGTTGAATGATATTTATTCCACTGTATGGATAGACTGCATTTTGTTCGTCCATTCATCTGTTAATGGATGTTTGGGTGGTTTCCACCTTTGGGTTATTGTGGATCATGGGCGGGTGGGTGTCTGTGTGAATCCCAGTCTCAGTTCCTTTGGTTGTGTACCCTGGAGTGGCACTGCCCTGTCATGTGGTTCTGCTGCCCACTGCCCCATGGCGGGGCGCTCTTGACTGTCGGCTTGAGCTAAGCGTGTGGGAAGGGGTGGGGACTGGCTTCCCCTCTCTGCTGGAGGCTGGAGCTGTGCCTCTGCAGGGCCCGCGTGGCTCCCTGACTGTCGTGGGGGAGCGTGGGGGGAGTCTGCATGCTGAGGGTTGAAGGAGACGCCCAGCTACCTTCAGCTCCTTCCCTTCTTCCTGCCCCGCCCCATCCTGCAGGCCAATGAGGACAAGGTGAAGCAGCTGGTGAAGGAGATTGGCCGGGACATCCAGCAGCTGAGCTTGGCCGGCTGCTACTGGCTGTCCGGCTCCACCGTGGAGCACGTGGCCCGCTGCCGCAGCCTGGTCAAAGTGAACCTCTCGGGCTGCCACCTCACCTCCCTGCGCCTCTCCAAGATGCTCTCGGCCTTGCAACACCTGCGCTCCCTGGCCATCGACGTGAGCCCTGGCTTCGACGCCAGCCAGCTGAGCGGCGAGTGCAAGGCCACACTGAGCCGTGTCCGGGAGCTCAAGCAGACACTGTTCACGCCCTCCTATGGCGTGGTGCCCTGCTGCACCAGCCTCGAGAAGCTGCTGCTCTACTTCGAGATCCTGGACCGCACGCGCGAGGGGGCCATCCTCTCGGGCCAGCTCATGGTGGGCCAGAGCAACGTGCCCCACTACCAGAACCTGCGGGTCTTCTATGCCCGCCTGGCCCCGGGCTACATCAACCAGGAGGTGGTGCGGCTGTACCTGGCCGTGCTCAGCGACCGCACGCCTGAGAACCTCCACGCCTTCCTCATCTCTGTCCCTGGCAGTTTTGCTGAGAGTGGGGCCACCAAGAACCTCTTGGATTCCATGGCCCGCAATGTCGCCTTGGATGCCCTGCAGCTGCCCAAGTCCTGGCTGAACGGCTCATCCCTCCTCCAGCACATGAAGTTCAACAACCCGTTTTACTTCAGCTTCAGCAGGTGCACCCTGTCCGGTGGCCACTTAATCCAGCGGGTTATCAACGGTGGCAAGGACCTCCGGAGCCTGGCCAGCCTGAACCTCAGTGGCTGCGTCCACTGCCTCTCCCCGGACTCCCTGCTCCGCAAGGCAGAGGACGATATTGACAGCAGCATCCTAGAGACATTGGTGGTGTCCTGCTGCAACCTGCGGCACCTGAACCTCTCGGCCGCCCACCACCACAGCTCTGAGGGCCTGGGCAGGCACCTCTGCCAGCTCCTGGCCCGGCTGCGCCACCTGCGCTCCCTCTCCCTGCCTGTCTGCTCTGTTGCTGACTCGGCACCTCGGGCCGACCGGGTACCCGCCCAGCCTGTGATGCATGCTGTGCCCCGTGGCTTTGGCAAGAAGGTGCGCATAGGCGTGCAGTCCTGCCCCAACCCCTTCTCGGGCCAGACGGTCCCCCAGCCTTCCTCTGTGTTCTGGTCTCTGCTGAAGAACTTGCCCTTTTTGGAACACCTTGAGCTGATCGGGTCCAACTTCTCCTCTGCCATGCCACGCAATGAGCCTGCCATCCGCAACTCCCTCCCTCCCTGCAGCCGGGCGCAGAACGTTGGGGACTCGGAGGTGGCCGCCATTGGCCAGCTGGCCTTCCTGCGGCACCTGACACTGGCCCAGCTGCCCAGTGTGCTGACGGGCTCTGGGCTGGTCAGTATCGGCCTGCAGTGCCAGCAGCTCCAGTCCCTCTCGCTGGCCAACCTGGGCATGATGGGGAAGGTGGTCTACATGCCCGCCCTCTCGGACATGCTGAAGCACTGCAAGCGGCTGAAAGACCTCAGGTGAGGGGCCTGGTCGGTGTCTCCCTGGCCTCTGCTGGCTCTTTGGAGGCCCCTAGAGGCTGGCGGAGGGGAAGTGAGTAGCACGCGTTTGCAGACCTGCCGTGGGCCTGCCTGGTGTCGAGCTCAGAGATGGACGTGACACAGGCCTGTCCTCTAGGAGCCCAGAGGCTGGGGGTCAGGGCCTCGCTGTGTACAAGATGTGGCTCAGGGGCGATCTGGGGAATGCGACAATCTGGTGGAGCTGCGGTGGGGTGCAGGGGGCAGATATCTGAGCTTAATGTCGTCGTCTTTATTTCTTATGGTTATTTGACTGACTGCTACGTACGATGCTGCTGTTGTATGTAATCTCATTTAATCCTTGTAATAATCCTTCAAGGTGGTCAATAATCGTTCCTATACAGCAGAGCTGGTGAGTGGGGAGTCGGGATTTGAACCCATCACCTTCTGGCCCACCTTTTTGGTTTTTAAAGGCGTTAGCCAGGGAACGCAGAGCCAAGGCTTTCTGGAACAGTGAGCAGCATGTGTAGGAGCCCCAGAGGCTTAAAATATGCCGAAGACCAATGGGTTCAGCGTGCCCAGGGCAGAGTGGGGAGGTGGGAGGGAGGAGGAGATAGGTGGGCAGGGTAGGCAGGTGGAGGTGCTGCAGGGCTTCTACCAGAGGGGTCCCTGGCATCCCTGCGGACTGGAGGGACAAGATGGAGAAGACAGGGCTTGGCTTGGGGTCAGGGTGCGGACTTGTGAGGGGCGGAAGGGCCGGGAGTGGGGTAGCAGGACCCATCTGAGGGAGCGGAAGGAGGTGGAACCCACGGGCCTTGGAGGCTGTTGTCAGGGAGAACCAAGCAGAGATGGATTTACACTGAATTATGTGTTGGGGGAAGCATGTTCTCGTGAGGTCCCAGTATTTAAAGGATAAGAAGAATTCGTTAACTTAAAGATATGTTTGAAATCTTGGCGGATAGATCTGATCTTGAAAAATTACCCCAAATGTAGTGAAGGCATCAAGCCCAGTCCCCCGAGGGACTCAGGTCAGGGAGGCAGGAAGGAGGCTTTGGAAAATCAGCCGCTATCTGTGAGTTCCTCGCTGGGGCGTGGTGGGCATGTGAGGCAGCGTCGGGAACATGAATCCTGTCTCAGCCCAAGGGGTGCTTGGACATACGTATCACTGTCCCAGAGTAGTTAGTGTTCACTTTGTGCCTCTGCGTGGGCCAGGCCCCTGAGCCAGGTGCCACCATCTTCCCCATTTCACAGGTGAGGCTGTGGAAGCTCAGAGGAGCAGCTGCGTCTCACCCAGAGAGACGTCTCGACCTTGGCCCTCGAAGCCACACAGAGTGGAGATAAGTGTGTCCTCTGTGAATCTCCCCCATACACCCTGGAAGGGTTGGGCACGGCAGGAAGCCGCCAGACCCGAGTGGAGTGGAGTGGAGGCAGCAAAACACTTTGCTACTCACACCCGGAGCCTTCCAGAGTGGCTCAGCCAGGCTGGACGCTTCCCTCGAGGCCTCTGAGCACAGCGGTGCTGGGACTCCCTGCTGGCCTGAGGGTGAGAAGCCTGGGACCAAACCCAGGCCTCCCAAATGGCAGAGCAGATTGCTCGAAGCATCTGTTTTCTGCCCTTTTGAGCCAATGCATCTGGGTCTGGGGAGGGGCAGCCCCATGCTCCGGCCCCGGCGTCCCAGCCACGGTTGCTCCAAGAGCCGGACTGCCGGCTTTTGAGCATCCCCCGGTTTAGACGTTTGAGTCTAAGTTCATGTCAGTTTTGGGCTCCCTTTTTACGTTAGGGGAAAATACCGTCACCATGTGTAGCTGAACGTGCCACCTCTGACCACAGCAGTCAGTCCCCTTCACCACCTGCCTTTCGGAGCCTTTCTGACCTCCTCCTCAGAGGGTGCCTTCCTCCTCGTCCTCCTCCTCCTCCTCGGTGTCTCTGCAGCTGCCCACAGCCCCTCTCTCTCACTGGCTCATCTCTCTGCAGTGGCTTTTCGCACCCTCTCTCCTCCTGGCTTTCCCCGAGGCCGTGGTGAGGAGCTGCAGGTGGGCCTTGAAGTACCATCTGGAGCCCCTGGGGTCTGCTCCCTGTCACCCTGTTCGCATCTTGCAATTGGGAATCGAAAGTTTCCTAACACAGGGAGCCCACGAGAGCCTGGAGCTCTAACCGGACCAGACTCTGGGCCAAGCCATGTCTGGGTCTGCCGCTCTCGCTGCCGGAATTTTGCTTTCTCACCAACCCAGAAAACCCTGAGCTTCTCCTAACTGAGTCGTTATCAGGGAGTGGTTGATAAAAACAGAAACCAAACAAGGTAAAACAAAGTCCTACATTCTCATAGTTGAAAATGCCAGAGCACTGGAAGGCTGCGATGCACACCGCAGGCCGCGCCCCCAGAGCGGCTTCGCGCAGCCTGCCAGCCGGCAGGCCTGAGCGAGAGTCTGGGGGCTGCGCTGGAGTCCTCGGCTAGTAGGTGGCCTTTGGCTTCGGAGCCAGATGGGGCCAGGGAGGGCACTTGGTAAGAATTGGTCAGGAAGAGGAACAAGAACTGCGAAGGAGGCGCTGGAGGGGGGCGGTGCGTTCTGGAAGACAGAGGAGGAGGTGACTGCGGCGTGTGTACCTTTGAACTTGAGTGCCGTCGGCTTCACCTCTTTCACATGCTCATAGGTCTTGACCCCTTTGACATTCTCAACAACCCCATGAGCGAAGACCCTGTTGTCCCGCTTTATGGAGGAGGAGAGCAAGGCCCCGAGTGTCGGTGAACTTGCCTGGGTCACACGGCTGGTCCGCGCATGTAGCCGGGAGTGTTCCCTGCCTCACAGGGCGACCGGCATTGAATGGGGCAATGCGGCAGCATTTAGTAGTTACTGAGTGGCCTCTGGGGTCTGGCACGTGGTCCCTGTGGCAAAGTGTCTTCCCCAGGAGCAAGGCCCTGCGTACAGCGTGGGGAGGCCTGGAGGACTCGAGATGAATGGGTTTTGTGGGCTGGCCTGAGAACCTGCCCGCCACTCATAATGGCATCTCTGTGCACAAAGTCAAGCCTGTGCCCAGCAGCCGCTAAGAACCACATCTGCTCTGAGCTGGGTACTGCCTGTTCAGAACAAACTCCAGTTTCTAGAACGTGGCCAAATGGCCCTGTTCCTCTGGATTCCTGCCTTCTGCGGCAGGGGAGCCCAGGGAAGCTGGAGTGAAAGGAGCAGGTGGTGCTTGCTCGCCTGTGGGCAGGAGCCGCACGGAAGAAATGGTGTCCAAGGCTCAGGGGAGGCTGGCACACCAGGGATGTTCCTGAGATGGCAGCCCTCGGATCCCAGGTGACGGGCCATTGCAGTCCCCACCATCGTGCTCCAGAGCACTGTGCCTGCCCGGCTCCTGGTAGGGAAGAGATGGTCAGGGACAAGTTGTTCTGGTCCAGGCCTCACGGCTTGGGATTCTCAGATACCTCCATAGCGAGAGGTTTCCAAGTTTGGCAGAAGAGGGCACCTTCTCTTCCCAGACTGATTAAGCCCTGCCTCGTGGTGGAGGGAGGGGGAGAGCATTACCCTGAGTCACCCTGGGCTGCTGTGACCTCGGAACCAGGGCAGCGTCTGGGCGGAAGCAAGAGCCGTCTCAGAGCCAGGCCCTGGCACGCTGTCCCAGGGACACCTCGGAGGCCTGGGCATTGTTCATGGGACCTGTGATCCGAGCGCCCTCTCGTGCCCACAGAGTCACAGGGAGACCCAACCCCCCTGGGGAGTGGGATTTGGAGGCCAGATCCTCAATGCTTGAAAGGTTGAGGGATGGCTGGGAGGAAAAGGGCCACAGCTCCCCGGTGAGGCTGGGCACAGTGGAGACCTCTTCCATATCCCCTGCCCTCCCCGCAAATGCTGCTGGGCACTTGTGGTGCGTCAGCTCTGTCACCATCCTGGGCAGCCTGACCCGGGAGCTGGGAGAAGGTTTGGACGTGCAGTCCCCGCCCATCCAGGCCTCTGAGGGAGCAGGAGTGGACAGGACATTCTCCCACGGGCCCATCCCTGTCTGGAACCCCTGTGGCAGGTGACTTCCTCCAGGGTGGAAGAATCTGGAAGTGGCTGTCCAGTTGAAAAAAGATTAAACAGTGCGTGCGCGCGCGCGCGCACACACACACACACACACACACACACACACACACAGCAGGCACACACGTGCGCTCTGCTGGCTTGGTTTGTAACCCCAGAGGCTTTGCTTGGAGGTCTTGGGCCGGTGGCATAGACCCGTATCGCCACCTAGTGACCGAGGCCACCGCAGCCGTCCTCTGTGCCATCCCCGCCCCCTGCTGTCAGGAGCCTCTCGCTGCTGCCGGGCATGGCGGCCAGCGGGACTGCAGCTCTGCTGCTTCCAGGATCTTTCTGCACCTTCCCACCTCCCGCTTTAAGGTCTGCAGAGGGATGCTTGCTTTAGGATTTTTGTTTTTTTGGTCTGTAAAATATATTGTAATGAAAACACTTCCTCATCATCTTTAAATTAAAATGATTTTCACAGTTTACCAAAGTAAAAAAACCGATTTGCATTTCTCAATCTGAAGCTGCTCTGGCAGGAGGACCTAATTACTTCCTGCTCCACAGGTTTCAGATGCCACGCACCACAGGTCCCCAATGCTCTGGAGTCCTTGTGGCAGCTTCAGGGGCGTGATTCTTAGCAAATTTTTTAAAAAACATTATCATTATTGTTATTTTTGAGAACAGGGTCTCACTCTGTCGTCCAGGAAGGAGTGCAGTGGTGTCATCATAGCTCACTGCAACCTTTAACTTCTGGGCTTAAGTGATCCTCCTGTCTCAGCCTCCCCAGCTGCTGGGACTGTAGGCATGTGCTACTATGCTCGCTTATTTTTTGTAGAGACGGGTCTTGCTATGTAGCCCAGGGTGGTCTCAAACTCCTGGGCTCAAGTGTTCCTCCTGCCTCGGCATCCCGGAGCCCTGGTATTATAGGCCTGAGCTGCTACACCCTCGCCTGTATCAAAGTTTTAACCGGTCACTTTCAGTTTTGCTTTCACTGAAGCATATTCTTGTGAACTTGAAGGGTATGTGCTTTTTCTAATCCAAGCATCTTTATTATATCTTTTTCCCTGTGTGGATGGCTTTTTGTACTTTTTATAATGGTAACCATATGCGGTTTATGCGGGTGCAGGGGGTCCTCACCATACTTTTCATGGTCTGCAGGTGAAGGCTGAAACACTTTACCTGGGATTCTTTTTTTTTTTTTGAGACAGAGTCTCACTGTGTTGCCCGGGCTAGAGTGAGTGCCGTGGCGTCATCCTAGCTCACAGCAACCTCAAACTCCTGGGCTCAAGCGATCCTTCTGCCTCAGCCTCCCGAGTAGCTGGGACTA